CTGGTTTATATGTCTTTTTCAATCGATTATACTCTATAATAGCTTCCTCACTAGCTATTACAGATGAAGGATCATAATTAATTAAATGCACACCATCTAGAGATGTTACCCGAGATAATGCAACATATACTTGCCCAGAACTGAATACACAATTACCTATATCCATAATGGCGTTTTGCAAGCTCAATCCTTGGCTTTTATGAATGGTAATGCCGTAACTTAAAGATATTGGAAATTGTTTTCTCATAACATATGCTCTATCCATTACTTTAAACTTGACGTTTACTCTTTCAATTAAATATTCAGAACCGGATGGTAAAAGAAGCTTAATCTTTTCTATATGATTACTAGAGATATCCTGTACAACTGAAATAACTTTAGCGATCGTACCGTTTACAAGACCCAAACTGGCATCGATATTGCGTCTTATCATAATCTCCACCCTACAGCTTATTACATTTATATCGATAAATCTAGGCAAGAATCGCAATTCGACTTGTACGTTGTGGACGGTTGGTCTCTCCTGCAGAGGTAGACATTCTGGAGTATCGAGTAGGGATACTACGGTTTCGTTCGCAAAAGGCGTGTCGCAGTTGTAGCCCATGAGCGTGTGTCCTTGGTTCACCAGTAGGAGGATCACGAAAAGGGTGGCCTCCATCTGCAATGAAACGACTCATCCTGGTTCACCCGAATAAGCCAATTTTAACAGATTTGCATGTACTACTTTTGTGGTATTGCGTATTTTAATGCGCAGATTCTCGTGGTTTAATTTCTCGATAATTTGATATGGTCCGCGATATTCTTGATCAAGCTTATGTGTTTTGGCACACGATTGTAGGTAAACGAAGTCACCCGTGTTAAACATTGTAGGGTGGCAGCGTTTATCGTAATGGTGTTTGGACATTTCTTTCGCCTTCATTAGATTGGCTTTAGCAGCTATTTGCAAGTCTCGTATTCGCTCGAATAAATTTGACAGGACGTCGTCATATGTCTCTGGATCTTTTTCTGTTTTGAACTGAGACGGAATGCGTGCGGCGAGTCCAAAAATTAATTCATGAGGGGAGTATCCCGTTCCTTCATGAACGGCGGTGTTGTATGAGAAACTTGCTCGGTCTATGAGGTCGTCCCAGCCATCTTCTTGATTTGTAAAGCATTTCAAGTACTCTACGAGCACTATGTGAGACCGTTCCAGTGAGCCATTAGATTGTGGATGGTATGCTGTGGTAAAGATCTGTTTGATGCGAAATCTTTTAGCGATGTTCTTCATGAAGTTGCTGATGAAGCATCGTCCCTGATCAGTCAGGATACTCCTTGGGCATCCGAACCGGCAAATAAAGTAATTAGTGAACGCTTTGGCGACCGTGTCAGCAGTGCAATAGAATGTTTTGTGAGGAGGTCTTGCATAGTGAGTATATAGGCGTTACCTAATGGTGTCCTATGAAAAGGTCCCACAATATCGAGTGCGACCTTATCAAAGGCACGACCCGGGGTATCAGTGAGTATAAGCGTTTGTCGCGTCTTTCTTCGAACCAGTTTTTGCGTTTGGCAGACACGACAGCAGCGAATATATTCTTGTACATCACGCTTCATGTTTGTCCATACGAAGTGCTGTTTAATTCTCAGGTATGTCTTGGTGACACCTTTGTGACCGCCACTGGCAGAAGTGTGGTATTCTTTAATGATTGCAAGGTGGTCTTCTTGCAGAGGCGTCGTTAATTGCCCCCGACAGACTGTGATTGTGGTGACAAGAAGTTTTATGGCACTTCGTAATGACTGCAGTATTATCCGCCAGGGCAAGCTGTTGATTGCTTCTGTGTGTCTGATGCTTAGTGTGGTTAACCCCAGTTCGGAAACTACGTCAGTTACCGATGCAAAACATTCCTTGATGATTTCCTCACTTATTTCCTCCGTATGCTTCTCCTTTATTGGTAAGACTATAATCTGCCGATTAGCAAAAGTCGACGGGTATACTCGAGCTCGTCCCAACATCATATTATCGAGAGGGGGTAGATTTCCTTTCTCCTTTAACTCGTGGGCTCCTTTATCAACTGGAGACTTGTCAAGTGCGACCATGATTATTATATTATCGTCCCTTTCGTTTAATTGCGACTGTAGCCTGATTACTATGCAATTTCTTTCTGTAGTCACTACCTCTGGCTCCGGTGGGTCCCCATCGTCAGAGCTCGAGGCGGTGGATTTACTGTCATTCTCTTCGCTTGAGTCCAAGATCTCGTTAACCATGGAGTTAGTGGATTCAAGCTCCTGTGTCGTTGCGTTATCCATGCGGAATTCTTCATCTTCCTCAAAGTCTCTGTCATCTTCGGCATCCTCATTATCTTCATCATCCTTGAAGCGCGATCTCTTCCGTAGTCGTAGGTGGTAGGTGGTGCGTAGTTGTGTTGGTTTAAGGTGAGGATTTAAGGTTTTTGCCGATTCATCAGACCCGAATTTGTAATCCACATAATGTGGTTTAGTACTGGCCGAAGCCATAGCCTGTTTCCGAGCTATGTTGTCATCATTTGAATCGGGGTAGGAGGTTGTGGAGGTATTGCAAGAGGATAATCGACGTTTCTTTTGGATAGGATACATGACAAAATGATTAACTTCAACTATGGACAATTGTGGGATAGGATTCCTGGATAGGGCGTCAGCGTTTTTATTACTTGCACCTGATTTATATTGGATTTCAAAGTCGTATTCTTCCAGCTTCAATCGCCACCGCATGAGCCGAGAAGTTGGATCCTTAACGCGATGCAACCATACGAGAGGTTGATGATCCGTGATAAGTGTAAACCTTTTTCCATACAAATACGGCCGAAAATGGTTGACGCAGTATGTAATAGCGAGCAACTCCTTCTCGATGGTCGAATAGTTTTTCTCAGCCGGATTCAGGATTCTTGAGGCGTAGGCGATTGGCATGTCTTGTCCTGGTTTACCCTGACTCAGGACTCCACCGATAGCGAAATTCGATGCGTCAGTCGTGAGGATGAATGTTTGCTCGAAGTTCGGATGCTGTAAAATTGGTTCCTTGCACAGTAAATCTTTGAGTAAATTGAAAGATTCCTGGGTCTCGTGGCCCCATACGAAAGGTGCGTCCTTCTTCAACAGATTTGACAGTGGTCGGGCGATTTCCGAGAACTTAGGGATGAATCGTCGATAGTATCCTGCCAACCCGAGGAACTGGCGCACGTTTTTCAGTTTTCGTGGCACGGGAAAATTTTTAACAGCTATTATTTTCCCTGGGTCTGGCCGAACACCATCTTCGTTAATTATGTGACCAAGGTAGGCTACTTCGTGTCGCAAGAATTCGCACTTATCCGGCTGCAACATCAGGTTCGCGGCTCGTAGTCGAGTCATTAACTTATTCATCTTGATATCGTGCTCTCTTAGTGAACTGGCGTATACCACAATATCGTCCATGTAGACGAACAAATCTACACCCTGCAATCCTGCCATTGCTTGGTCCATAAATCGTTGGAATGTCGCTGGTGCATTCTTGAGCCCAAAAGGCATCCTCTCGAATTCGTAATGCCCTTGATTTGTAGAGAATGCTGTTTTATGAGCATCTGCTGGGTCCATTGGAATTTGATGGTACCCGCTGGCTAGGTCCATAACTGAGAAGTACTTTGCGCCGCCCAGTTGATCGAGGATATCGCTAATGTTTGGCAGTGGGTAGGCGTCTCCGATAGTTTTGTCGTTTAGCTTTCGGAAGTCGATTACCATTCTCCATCGCTTGTTTCCTTGTGAATCTGGTTTTTTCGGCACGATCCACACTGGAGAGTTGTAGGGCGAGGCGGATGGTTTTACTATTTGTTTGTCAATTAGTTCACTGACTTGCCTTGTCATTTCTTCCCTGTGTATGGGCGGGAATCTATACTGCTTGGTGTGTACTGGCGCATCGTCGGTTGTAATGATCCTATGAGTGACCAGTTTAGTCATTCCCAAAGGGTCGCCTGGTATGTAGAACCGGTCGGTATGTTGACTTATAAATTCAAGAATGTTGTCCCTCTCAGGACGATTGAGGTGATCGAGGCGCAATAATTGTATGATACTGCGAATTCTGTCAAGTTTCTCTTTACCGCTTGTATTTTGAATAGTTGTATAAATTTCTGATATCTTCAGAGACGTCGAGCGAGAATTATTTGTATAGGCTGCGAGTGCAAAGTGGTTCCTCTCGCCATAGGCTGAGTGAGGGAAAGTGAGTCCTTGCTGGACGGCAATGACATCCGACTGAGGCGAGGCCCGGGAGTGAGCCGTACCAGACTGAGAAGATCCTGGAGAGGGATGAGTCGTTTGTGACTGAGAGGACCCTTCGCAGGAGTGAGTCGTGGCAGGCTGGGAAGATCCCTGGATTTGAGTCGGTGTACATTGATAAGTAGTTTGGCCCGTTTCGGGCAAAGATCCTTGCACCTTGCTGTAGTGTTTCTGCTCGAGTGAACCAGTGAGAGCCGCCCCAGTTGCGACTGTGGCGGTGGTTTCCGTTTCTTCGCGGGCTTCCTGCCCTTGTTCCTTAAGGTATGGCGGTTCAGATGATATTTCGGTTACCTCTTGTAGCTTTATAATGGGGATTACGACTTCGACTTCATGATCGAGTGTGTTTATCATTCGCATGCACGCCTTGTTATTTATACATGTTACTAGGGTTTCTCCGCCGTGAACTCCTTCGCAAGCGCGTACGCGTGGAATATACCCTGTCTTTATTTCGGGATTCGAAATGCGTACAACCATATTGGAGCTAGTGCGTGGCGGGAGCACCACTGATTCCTTATCTTTAAAGGGGTAAATGTGATCTCCCCAGGTTATCCACCCGTGCTTATAATCGATACAGGCATCATGCTTGTTAAAGAAAGACGACCCCAATATCCCTTGTGTTACAATGGGGAAGTCGTCTGGTACGACGTGGAATACCACGGTAATACGTGACATTGTTGCCTGTATAGTTCCGCGTGTATGCACAACCTCTTGCGTTATGCCGGTAAGCTGTATGACTTCGCTTTGATTAATAGTAATTCCTTGACAAAGGCTTCCCTGTTTTATAATATTAGGGTACGCGCCTGTGTCTAGCATGAATGCGACTGGTCCTCGGAAGGAGTCGCATTCAAGCTCGACAGATGGGATGTTTCCAACGCCCTCTCGGAGGACGTGGAGGGCTCCGATACGTAACTGATCGTGAGCGCGGGACGAGCACTCCCGAGGCCTCTGGTTGTCCCGCTGGACGAGGCCTCCGGAGAGTTTCCCTGATTCCGAGAGCCAAGCCCACTTCCATTATTTGTTTGGTATTCTGTGGCTCCTCTGCCTTGATTTAAATTATATTGCCGTTTTCGGCATTCGTTTACTAAATGCCCGAAATTCTTGCAGTAGCTGCAGATTTTTCGTTCTGTATTTACTACTGGGGAGGGCGGCGCGACGCCGGCTCCCCGTTGCGAAGGGTGATTTACCGGAGTTGCGTTAAGGCGACCGGAGTGAAGGTTTCGTGTGCGCGCCTCCTCTCGTTCGAGTCGCTTACCGATCATGATGGTCTTGGTGCAAGCGTCGGGAAAATTATTATATCCTTCGGCCCGCAACTCAAGACGATATTCGCGCGGCAGTCCCTCATAAAATGCCTCGAGGGCAAAGGAGTCAATGGCCGCTACCTCTGATTCCAATAGGGGGCGATCA